GAGTTGCGCCAAGAAGAGTTGCGCCGAATCGCCGAGATTAGCGTCAGACAATACTTTTGAAAGGCACCTCCGTATAGTAATGCTAATGGGATCCATTTCTTACGCGAGTCGTGGTCTTTTTGGGCTCAATACCCTTGCTCCCCTTTCGCCCCCCCGACCCCCGCTTCCCCCTTCTTTCTCTCTCTCTCTCTCTTTTCGGCCGCCGAGAAATGATGTGTGGTTTATTTGAATAGATGTATATGCCGAGAGTGGGGGGGGGCAGGGAGGAGGGGCCGTGGGAAATCAAGATCTCCCCCGGTTGATAGGTTTTACTTGGGTTGGCATTGGCACCCGTTATAGGATAGGGTATAGTGTTAAGCCTGTTAGTAGGATGAGACTCTTTTTTTTTACACATGTAGCGTGTTGCATATGTCTTTTCCTTTCTTTTCTACTACAAGTAAAACACGTTTACTTTTTTGCTACTCCATCTGCCGTACATTTTCGCTTCCGGAGCTCAAGGAGCAGTGGTGGTTTGTTGGAGAGAAAAAAAGCAAGGAAAAAAGTATGGTTTGCAAATGCCGGTAGCCCGTTTTGCCGAAACCAGCTAAACTTTGCTTTTCTGGGTGTACTGCAAGTGTGCTGACGCTTTTTTTCGCCTCGGACATTTTTTGGGGGGATTGGCAAAGATTTACATACACTACTAATTCGGCCAGTAGTAAAGTAGACTGCTATTCTTTGGTTACATCTAAATGAGTCATTTTTTTAGATGTTCTTACTTAATTCACCGAACTGTTTCCCCTCCCCCCCCTTTCCTTTCGGGCCCCGAAATCAAGCTCTGAAAAAAAGACGGAAAGCTGAAAACGGAAATGAAAGGGAAAGTGAGAAAAAAAGACGTTTTACCAAAAGCAAATATACGTGCGATCAAGCCCCGAAAAGAGCACGCCCCAACCTGAACAACATGGCGAAAGAGAGAAAAAAGCAAGTGCAAGAATCCCCACAACCCGGCCCTTCCGCTCAGGCTACATGTGGCCGAATTCGGCATCCATTTCGGCATAGTGATAGGCAGTCTTTGCTTTTGGCCCCTTTTTTGGTGGTGTTCCCAGTGACGCGGGTGGGTGTGGGTACTAGGTATGGTACGTAGGTACATACTGTGGGGACTGTAAGTTGAGTAAGATGGGTACGGGGCTGACTGTACCGCGCTTCGTATTCGCAAGTACCTAATAGGAATCTTTTTTACCTGCTTTGCTTTCTTGTTTTCCTCGCTATCAGTATTTTGGGAGTGGGGCTTTGGTAAAATGGGGACATTGATTGGCATATTTACAGTTGAAAAGGGGATTGGCACAGTGTACGAGGCGTCTGTTTTTCCTTGCGTTCTTTGAAGCAGTAGTACATACCAGCAAGTAGTACATGGTAGAATGCAGTCTTCAACTAGTATCATGCAGTCGCATGCAAGGTTCAGTAGTAGGAGGAAATACGAGCGCTTTTTTTCTTCATTTCGTCATAATACAGCGTTTTCCCCTATGGCTTTTCTTTTACTTTTCTCGCTCCACGTACCGAGGCGCAAGACCGCGGCGCGCGGGTCAACCTGACAATCCGCACGTGCAACATGGATGACGCTACTTTGTATTACGCACTTGTCAAAACGGCCGAGGCGCGCGTGCTGCCCAGTTCTGCACTTCACAAAAGCATGCATAATTACACATCCATCCATCTACGTATCTACGTATCTACTCTTGACTCTTCCGTCGCGCACAAGTGGAGATGCACTCTTCGGCCCTTATATCTAGCATGTACGTAGAGATCTCGATGCTATTAGGCGCCATCCCCGACTCCGCGTCCTCGCGATGCGCATGCAAGATCAAACCCTCGATGATCGAATTCGGCGCGCGCTTGCAAACGCCAAATAGGAATCAGAAAGAAAAAAAACGAGGCTACTATGCGAACACGAATGAACGTGTTTGGTTGCCTCGGGTGAAAAGAAAATTGCATACGAAGAGCTGGAACCGCAAAGATAACAAAACAAAAAAGTCGTTTGACAAAACGTGCTATTACACAAGGTGCACAGCAAAAAAAAGTTCAATTATCGCGCTTCATTGTCTACCCATACGGCCGGATAGCCTATTCTTTGATCTACAACAACAAGGTGCCTCTTTGGCTTTGCGCCACAACTGCCAATAAAGCCTGTTGCGCAAAAAACAAAAGTTAAAGGTAAAGAAAAGCATGATCTTTCCGAGCTGAGGCGGCTCCCCCGCACACACGGTGGGGTCTAGATGGGCGGTCGAACGCGCAATGCACAATGCACAATGCGCTGGCAGGAATTGGCCCAGGAAACAACACCAGATGGGCAAAACTTCACAATTGCCATGTTCTCGTTGGCTCCTTTTCTCTTCGTGCCGTGGTACCTGCGTTATACTAGTGGCACCCACGTGACCAGCTTTCCATGCCGTGCAATGTAGCATGGGGAGGCCGAAGGGGGTGGTTTGCGCGCGGAACCGGGCTGACAAGCAGGATTTCTTGGAGCAACAGAATCCCGTCATCTGGATTTTTTAGGCTCTCGGGTGACATGTTAATGGCAGTTTTGGCACATGCGCGTAACACGGACAAGCTTCTGGGCTGCTCCTAGCCACGTACAAAGTCACATTCACATGATTCTCAGAGTGTGCCGAGTGGTCGTGTCACGTGTGGCCGATAAGACACAGATCGCTAGCTGTGAAATTGGCGGCAGAATAGGATCAATCTGAATGGCAAAAGTCTCGCAACGGCACCCACGCATTGCATACGCATTGCGCATTACTGTCCCATGTAGAAATGACAGTGTTACCCACCCGTCAGTGGTTGACGTGTCCATGCCGCCTTGCGCTCCCTGCCAGGCCTGTTCTTCGGTTACCCAGAAAATACCACTCAGTCGCTAACCAGCCAATTCTGCATGAACTGGTCTTGCAAGTGCAACTCACGTCGAGCAGAAAACACGACTCGCTATCATGTGGCGAACTGGCAGCAAGGTTTGCATTGACAGCATGTACGTCATGCTCATCTCCCGTTGACACTTAGACGCTGACTGCCATCATACGATACACTGCAAGCGAACACCTCATCCCTCGCTCATCATCCAATATTCTGCCTCACTATTGAGTGAGGCGTAAGACTAGCAATGCCGTAGCTGCTTGTTTCATCCGAAGTGGCTGCTGTAAGTCTGCCGTATGCCGCACTATTGGAACCTCATACCCACCGTACAGAGGGTGGCGAGGCGTCGATTCCGCAAACAGCAATTGCCCGCTACGGGTGATGTTTTGCATTTCCCGAGTCAACTTCCCCGCTTCCGTCTTCAAGTGGCTTTTCAAGCTGTTTAACCGTTGAAACATGGGCTGAGAGAGAGGCATTGCTGCCCATTACACCCCCCTGATCACCAAGCGGTTAGCGAGAGAGAGCATGGTAGATGCTGGAGTGTTCACGACGCTAGGGCCGTGCAAAAAAGAAGGGTTGCTGGTCTTTACTAAACATCCCTGTCCCAAACGCCACTCAGGGACGGGCGACGTTGCATCTCGCGAGTTTCTGAGATAGTGAGCGCCTCCAGGGTCGTGGCTCTTTCCATAGTGCGCATCGCGCGGCTTCACAACGTGCTGCCGAAATAGGCTTCCCTGTCTGCCTCGGGAGTTCAGAGGATCAACGTTTCAACGATTATCCTTGAGCACCGAGTCAGTCAACATGTCAGTTTCGCCGACAAAGATATGTAGAAAAGCGGGCATGTGCAGACCTGAATCCTACGCACGCGCCCTCAACGCGCGCGCGTTATACGATAGGATCAGAAAGAGTGAAAGTCTCAAGATGCAGAGCTGCGCCGCAAGAGGAGGCAGCCCCGGCCATCACGGCCATCACGGTCATCACGGTCATCACGGCCTCCGCGCAACTGCTGCCCAACCGGACACCAATGCCTTGAAACAGTATGACCACACCATTAGGCTCTCCAGGTACGACTTGTCAGGTACAGCTGTGCTGTAACCCCGGCGAGAGCGATAGGCAATTTTCGATTCAGGCCTGGACTTCAGCGCATGCGGGGTAGTTTTTCGAAACCCAGAGCTTTACAGCCTACCCTGGCTTCGGCCAAAATAGGTTGTAGCAATTGCATATTTGGAACCCGATCGGGAGTCGGAATTTCGTGTGTTTGAATTTGAAACCGCTTGGGTTCGCTAGAAATAGTCGAGGGAAAGACTGGTAGCGACATAAATGCTCCGCGGCGAGCGATGGTTCACGATAGCACTGCGAACCAGACCCGCTATCAGATACATGTGCTGTGGAGCCTCCATGCAAGGATGAGTGGAACTGCGACAAGCCAGCTTTGGCACATGAATGTAAGTATATTCAAGGTAGGCAGGCTGGTCCGATTGAACAAAGGTAAAACGGAAGCCGTCCCTGTTGCTATTGTATTGTTACTGTATCGTTTGCCATCCAATATCGATTTCTTAGGGCTGCCGGTTGTATGCGATTGATTTATCCCCGCGCAGTTGTCGAGCTGACACGGACCGTCGCGCTCCCCGAGCGGCTGAGATGTGGGCTGTCCAAGCGCTGTTCATACACGTGCACTAGACTGCTGTTCCCCTGCTACATGACGATATTTCCTAGTAAGTATCCGCTTTGCAGCAGACGTAATGGAGGGTGACTTTGCTCGAGACTGGTTCGAGGTTAGGGTAATACTGTGGGGTATCTCGTAGTACACTTCTCGTAGTTTCCGTTCGGCAATAGCCTGAATAGTCAGGTGGTCGTCGCTGCATGCAGGCAGCCCGCAGTTTGGACGCCATGTGCCTCAACAATTTTTTGCGGATGAATTTTTTGATTGGCCAAAACCCCTCTTTACAAGGAGCAGCGGTGTATTTACTACGTCTCACTACGGGGTGCGCGGTGAGTTGGTAATACATGACAGTACATCATGTAATTGCGGTTGTCGCTGTTGTTGCGACCGTACAAGGAAAAACCTGCAGAGGAAGCATGTATGCGACCAGGAACCCAAGTCATGAATCTAGTAGTCACCTGAACAAGGTAGAAGCAGTGACAAGCGCGCGACGGGCCGCGCCCAGCGGTTCGCGCATACTGAGCGGTGAGACTTTGTTCGGCGCCTGGCAACAGAAGAGCGGGTCTTCAACTTCAGTTGCAAATTCATGATGGTGCAAATGCCATCGTCTCAGCTGATACGCTCTTCCAAAAGATCCTTTACGCTTTGTTCCCCTAATTCCGGGAACAGACGCAGGACAATCAATTCCACAATTTGGAAAATCAGGTGCTTGTTGAGGTACGTGTCATCGAGGCAGCCTAGAACGTCTTCGATTTGCTGAGTCTGAGCCTCGCGCTCATCGGTCGCAAAAAAAGTTGCTGCTACCTTAGCTGGGACTAGATTGAGGAGCGTAGCGGCACAACAGTGCTTGATCGTCTTCATCTCTTCGTCCGTTGGCATTTGGCGTGGGGGCCCAAGCGTGTTATTGGGGAAAATGGTTGCACGAAAGGTGCGAAGCGCCACTGGGAGGAAAGCGGGGTTTAGGATCCTGGTGTGTATAGTGCGGGAGAGAAATCTGCACATGCTCGTGGTTAGTGTCCGCAATACGATGGAGACGTATGAAGGCAATTGGTGCAGAATCAGGACAAATGTGTGTATGGCGGCCTCGATGGACCACCTAGGCCGCAGGACAGGTAGCTGGTGGTTGAATATGACGGAGACCAGGGCGCATAGAGCCAATGGGTCGGGCGAAGGTGGAGAGGGATATTGATGTGGTTCACAAAGTGAGGCGAATGCCCATGTCAAGCGAAATTGACTGGTTGTACAAGAGCGCAACTCAGGCAGTCGCAGTCAGCTCAAGCCGCACCCAAAAGGTCGGGTTCTGGGCTATTCGTCGAATGCTTCAATGCATCGGGCGAGCGAAGCGCATGCTTGCCAGTACGGCATGGCGATGGCAAAGGAGTTGCAGGCCGCTAAGATGCAAAGACGGAATATCGAGGCGATGTCAGCTGGCGCCGGCCATGGTGGCATGGTCGGGATCTTTTTTGACCAATGCCGGAACCCAAACTCAGTACGGGCAGGCGTGAGGAGAACGATCGGTGAGACGGCCTAGGGTCTGCAGACCCTTTGTAGGCTCCCATGTTGTCCTGTTGGCTGACGGAAAGTCGCGCTGCAGACTTGTCTGGGCCCATTTGCAAGCATCGTGCGTTGCGTGGTGGTGTTTGGCCAAAGTGAGGGGCCAAAAGTGCCAAGTCGCCATGTCCAAAACGTGTCGAGTTGCCGCCCGGAACGGGTGCTGAGGCTTGCATGAGACGATGCGCCACGACAAGGATGCTCCGGTGTGTGAGTCTGCGGGCCGTCGCATTCGCTGAAGCCAAGTCAAGTGACCGAAATCGCATGCGGAGCTATCTCGCCCTGTATCGCACGGACCAGCACCACCCCGACCACTGGCCAACCACGGCATCGAGAGGAAAAAGAAGATATTGTCGTCACTCACCTGTCCAATACACCATCCGTCTCACCCACCCTGCCTGGACCGACCAAGAATGCACGATGGACCATTGAAGTGAAACCGGACAGCCAAGGCATGCGGCTGTCTAGTTCAACAACCTGTGCTGCACAGCTCCACAGCGCCATACTCACTACGGGCCGTTTGGCACCCAACGGGCGCCTTGACGTCGTCATTTCTGCTTGCGGCATTTGTAATTGGCCAAGCGCTTGGCCCGATGACTGCTCGCTTGTGACATATCTCGACGGGAGAGAAGACGATGTCGCAATACACAAGATCACTGCGCGCGCCGCAGTAAACGCCATGAATCCATATTGGACAACAGCCCAGAAAAGTCCCGCTGTCGATGCTAGCGGGTGCTTAGGGCGCTGCTGTTCAGCGTCCAATCGCTCTGTCGACCTGACTTCCGTCCCTTCATGCGGCAAAAGCCCGTAGCGTTCCAGACGGGTCAATGATTGCTCTCCGTTAGAACCTTCTGATTGGGAGTCCTTCTCTTTCGCAGCGTCCGTCTGTAGCACTTCAGCTATTCTTGTAATACCCTCCCATAACACCCAGCCTTCACAGGCTTTCCCGCTAATGCCGTTTCCGAGGATCATTTCCGCAAAGATCTCGGCAACTAGTGCGCGAAGACACCCATTCTCTAGATCCTCAGTGGGTAGGAGTAGAGCCAATACGCCGTGAACAAGCAGTTGACGCCATGCTGATTCGCTTTCTCGCTGCTCAACAACTGAGGCCGGAATCATGTCCGTTGGAACAGGCGAGAGTCCAGGGTGTGGGTGGAGCGTATGATAGATTGTACGCGGGTCTGATATTAGTGAATCGTACGAGGTGGCTTGTCGCTTCGCTATGCGAAAAGCTAGCCACAGAGTGTCAGACACACTTCATGCAATAGTCCAGGGTCGGAATCACCTACACCTTAGATGGGACTCAAGTAACTCAGGGATCTCGTCTAGCAATAGTGATTCCAAATCGACTTTTCGTAAGCGCTGCTCAAGACCTCTGGTACAATGAGCGATGATCTGAATCACTTCATTGACAAATACTTGGTCTGGAGTGATCTTTGAGTACCACGTCTGTACGAACTCCTTGATGATCACAGAAATTACCCCATATAACTGAAGATCGACCGCATTTGAACTTGTCAAGGGAGGTAGCACATCTTCAATCGGCCGCGGTGTACTGCGTCCTTTCTCGCCGTTGCCAAGTAGCACATTGTGGGAGCACAACGTGCGTCGAATAAACGCTGCAGTCGCTTTGTCCGAGGTAGGATCTAACCGAAGCTTCTGAGAATCAGCTAGTCGATTTGGGCTTGTAGCACGAGGATGATTATGGACGTTGTTCCCTGTAGTTCCTGGAGGAGGTGGTGCTGAGGCCCGAAGGCCTGGTGGCTGCGAAAGAGGGACATCGGAATCCTGGGTCATGTTCTCCGCCATTGCAGGAGGATTCTCATTATTGCCTACACTCAGCAACTCTTTTAACACGTGACGAAGGTCTGCTGTGCGGTCGAGGTGAAGGTCGTTGTTGAAAGGTGGATGTAAAGTGAGCTATGACGCCAGCTGATCATCAAGGCTGGTAAGTCTAGCCGAAGCTTGGCACCTCCAACCTCTGTGTCACGTTGTCACGTTGTCACGCGCCAACGCTCCTTCACAACCTTCACGGTCAACATCAACATGACAACCCCAAATTCAGATTGTAGGTAGCTAAGAATACTGTTGGCTCGCTATACTCATGCTCTTCTTAGCGGTGATAGTCGAGGTTGAAGCCCAACTGAAAGACATTGTTCAAAACCTCTACAATCTTATTGTACAAGCGTATGATCACCATGGCAACACAACCCAAGAGGCTATGAAGCGTGAGATGTGCGTGAAGAGCTTTGTGACTTGAACTGCTGTGTGGCTGACGCGTATACAGCCAGTCGCTGGTGCAAAACTTAGTAAAGTTGTCGAGGACTGCACCCTCTGTACATATCGATATACCACCTGAGGTCATGTCCTATGTCGAGAACTCCAGGAACCCTGACATTTTCACTCGCGAATTTGTGGAAACTGTGCAGCGGATGAATCAGATGCTGAACGGCCGCATCGATGCATACCGTATGTTGCAAGAGCAATTAGCCTGGCAAGTCTCGAATGCTATCCCAGAGCTCAAAGAAGACGTTACCTCTGTGGTGGAAGCTACTGGGGGGAAATTGCCAGCGTAGATGCATTTGCTTCACATTCATTATTACCGGAACTTTTACTTGGAGTCCAGATCATCATGGAACCCGACCGACATGATAAACTCTTCCCGTGTTTCATGCATAGCCGGCAGATCAACTGTCAGCAGATCCTCGATAAAGTCACAGATTATCTCTCTATGACCGCACAATGAACTGTGGAACTGTTCTTGGTGACCACTCCTAAACGTGAAAGAAGAATAGGCTTTGCTTCCGCAATGCCGTACAATGCTCCGCCAAAAAGTACCACGGCATTCAAGGGTGTTCTTCCAATTGGATAAAATACATTTTCGGACCGTCTTCTGAGGAATACAAAACCTGTGGTTGTTCGTGAAAGAGGGATCCTAATAAGGTTTGCGGGGTTTCTCATTCAATATTGAGAAAATGCTCGTATGCTAGCACAACTGAGCAAAACAAGCAGCAGATATAGTTTCAATCCGGGCTTTCTATACACCTTGTCCTCTGTTTTTGCCCCGAGTCATGTCATATGAGTCTTTCCCCCTTGCCCTTGTCAGCAGAGCAGGGTATGTAGTTGGACCCTGTGACCATGACGATAGAGAACGATACGACTCGTTTTCCTGGCAGATTCGACTCGCCGTTAAACCGTTGTCCCAATGTATATGTGTCAAGATGCTCCAGGGTATGATCCTTCTCTACTCCTAGTCATAACAGCGAATCAACGTCCATATCGCATAATTCCTCCCTAAGGCGAGTAAGTAAGTATGGCGAGAGAACGCGACTCGAAAGTGAAGTGAGAGGCGATGCCCCTGTTGCGGGAGCTCCGGCCGCGTCGTGTTGTAGCTTTCGGTCCGAAGCGCATATGTCATACATAACTGAAAGTTTCACACGGCCGGTATTACGCCGTGCGCAAGTCTTGTCTCCACTGATCAGCTATGAAACGGACTGAGGCTTGTACGTTTAATGGCTGGCCTAACAAATGTAACAGTAAGCAAAGCTTTCGTCTCTTGAACTATATGCCTCGGAGACGGAGACGAGATTGTCCCGTAGATCCATCGGTCCGCAGACTTCGAGACGAGGAGCATGTTGGACAGAGCGCTCTAGATCTATCGACATTACCCCAGGTATTGAGTATCGTGTGTCATTTAGCTTTTGAGCAATGCGGCTGCATCTTATGATATTGTTATGCCATGCCCGTCGACATAACTCAGCACATTGTTCGGATGACAATTTTTGTATGAGATATTAATGCACATGGCTAAACATAAGTATATCATCATTTATCCTGAGCATTAACAAAGCCAGAGAAGAACGTATATACGGAGTATCCTCGATTATGATTGTGAGTAGTCATACAACTGTGCAGGGGTTGAGATATAGAAATTTGTAGCAACAGGGAGACAAAGGGGGGAGGGGTACGGAAACATGCTCCCGAAAGAAGATACCCGAGTTTTTGAATCCCTCGTTGCGGGTGTTGGAAGCCGACATTCTCGTCGCCTTTATGGATAATCGTACGATACGCCCTTCCAGATCAACCCATACACGTAACTCCATTGCAAGCATCATGCTCACACCTGAGCTATAGATCCAGAAATGATATCACGATAGGTTTTCTAGGATGATATAACAAATCGCCGAAACTTGGAAGTATAGGGTTGTATCAAGCTGGAGCTTGATAATAACTTACAAAAAACCCCGAAACTATTGAGGGTTTGGCTATAGCTCGCTAGGATCAGAGTATCGCTACTGAACAAAAATCTTTGGGAATAGTTCGTAAGGGCGTGAAGTCTGGTATGATTTCTTGAACTTATGATGATAGTCGTTGAGCTATGAGACTAGATGGAGAGTGAGCAAAGAGTAGTCCGACATGTTGAGATAATTCAATTCTGAATAGCAAATACCAATTGAGCTCAGCCTTTGGTGAGACAGCACAACAAAACACGTCATTTACTGTACCAAATCATGCTGGAACATAACATTACACTTTGAAGTGCGAGAAGACTTTCAATTGTGAAGTTGTCACTCCAGATGAATGTCCACCATTTCACGAAAATTTAAAAGTTTTTAACACGCATCAACATCGGTTAACATGTTACAACAGTATCTACCCCAATGCAACATCTATGAATATGGAACTTTCAGTATCTCATTGCACGGATAATACATATCACAAAACCCGTCTCAGATAGTATCGATCCACACAATGCCTGAATCCAAATAAATATCAAGAATGTGTAAACTATTCATCTTAGGGAATTGTACCTACATACAAGCTAGATAGCAGCATGACAGGAAGAAGATGACATCACGACTAACCTAGTGTTCTGTCAGAACGGTTTTCCACCAAGAGTTTCAATAGATGAATGCAAGTTCTTCGTTGCCATCTTCATAACTATCGTACAACTTCCCAAAATATGATTTGGAAATGCTATCCTCTTCCTCCTCCTAATCAAAAGCGTCCCTGTACATTTCAAATAGTCGGAGCCTCACATCTAGTAATCTTTGTACTTCCTGTAATGCAATAAAAGGGTGGAAGGACAACATTCAGTACTTCACCTACAAACACTACTTTAAACAGAACCCAACAGTGTTCTTCGCAAAAAGGAATTTAAAGAGCGAAGAAGAAGTTAGATAAACACAATCCCACAAGTCCCTCAATACATACACGCTACATATCGTAGAACCCAAACCAGAAGTGATTCCCTTGTTTAACCCTATCGCAATGCTAAATCCCATAATTCACTCATATTTTGCGCAGAGCATTTCTCAGGGAGGGTGTAACTTGTACGTGCACCACCAGGCCTTTGAGCAAAACCCACAATGACAATGTATAGCAGAGAAGAGAGAATAAAACCGGTCCAGCACGAACGTTCTTCATTGCGAACGTTGCAACCAAAAAAAAATTACAAGGGTTTCCTCACTTCCCGATATTCGTACTTGTCAAACTCAGGGAAAGGAAAGAAGAAAAAAAAGAGAAAACGAAGAGGAAAGGAGAAAAAAAAAAACTTCTCCCTGATCCCTCTCAACAATCCCGAACCCATTACCAAATCCGACACATGATTCTCATACTCCATCAGCAGAGCCCCCTCCCCTCCCGAAAACAAAAAAAAAGTAATTCACAGATCAAACCCCAGGATATCCATTTTTGCTTCTTAAACTAGCCTCGAGTTTCCCGACATATGACATGATAAAAACTCCACACCACGCCCAATCTATTTCTAACAACCCCCCTCCTTCAGATGCAAGATGCAAAAAAAAAAGAAGCCCCAGTCCCGTCCAGTCGAGTCCTATCTAATCGAATCCAGATCAGAAAGAACGAAAAAAAAAAACAAGAGAAACACTTCCCCCCCTTATCTTTGTCTTTTTCTCTCTTCACGGTCCCGGAAACCCAATCTCCTCCCTCTTATCATCCACGACGCGGCCATACTCGAGCAATAGCCTAAAAAACCACGCTTCAAAATCCACATTTCGAAGCACTTTGTCATGCCACTCTGTACTCCTCTTTGCAATCCGTCGGGCCCTCTTCTCTCCTTCACTATCTCCATTGCCCCCAACTTTCCCACCGTCAGCGTCGCTGTAATCCAATTTGCCATCTCCATCTTTATCAGATACCTTGGTTCCGCTGAACCAGCGGACAAGGTCGAGATGCTCGTCGCCGCGGAGACTGAGGGGGACGTAGTGGACCCATGGTTTGAGCCATTCAGCGTGCCATTCGCGGAAGAGGGCCATTTTGTAGGTGAGGCTTTTGCTTTTGAGGAAGCTGTAGAAGCGGCCAGAGAAGGCGTTGCCGTCCATGTCCAGGAGGTGCTTGTAGTACCATGCATCTTGGCCATCGACGCGTTTGGTTACTTTGAAGAACTCTTGTTGCGCGTCGCAGTCGCCGGGGTCGCATTGGCCGATGTGGGAGAACTGCACATCTATGAGGTTCTTCAGCGCTCTGCGATCCACCTCGGCAATAGTATAGTTGTTTATGGTATCACCAGCCTTAGACGGGCCGCGAACTGGCTCCAGAATTTGAGCTGTATCAGGTGCATTGAGGCGTCGGACAATGTGTTGGCGGTGTTGGCGTCTCCAGCCACCATTACGACTGAAGCCTCCCGTTGTAGAGCCGCGCCAGTAAAGACTATTTGTTTTGTTTTCCCAGGTTGTGTCGCGCGTTTCGTCATAGCCTACCTTGCCCATCCAATACCACGGGCTCGGATACAAAATATCCTGGAAGCTGGAAATCTTGGACTGCGAGAATACAGGTGTAAGCTCGTG